GAAATGACTTCAATACCCTCTTCAACCTTCTGCCCAATTTTTATGATACACTTAATAATGATAATAATCAAAGTAAAAAATTATGTTTTATATCCGTTTTACCGGGTTCATTCTACGGCAGATTGTTCCCAAGCAATAGCCTCGATTTCGTTCATTCATCCTACAGTCTCACTTGGCTTTCTCAGGTAATTTTTAAAAATATTGATATATATTATTTAATGTTTCTTACATCTTTCTTGCATTACAAATGGTTGGTTACGAATTTCTTCTTTTATGAAAAAATAGCAAAAAAATTGCAATAATGATTATAGTCATTTTTTTTTCCGAGGATACCCGTATTAGTACCCTTCATTTTTGGACTAGTTATATATGATTTCTTATAACACAGATGTTAATTTAATCTAAGGGATCGAAAAGAAAAATTGGAATTACGCAATTATGACGTTGTGATTATGCATTATATTCGATCGCAATATAATTTGGACTTTTTTTCTTCTTTTTTTTTTCAATTTTGTTATTATATGTGCAACTTAATCATAATCCCCAAACTTATCACAAGCGATGTCTACTAAGTCTGGTCAGTTGGCCTCACATTGATACCATGTTGAATGAGCAGCTCAGCCAAAAACTTAAGCCGTTAGTGAGATATATGGTATAATTTATGATCTCCAGCATCTGTAACCATGTTGTGTTTGAAATTCATAGTTTCCTGAAGGACTTGAGAGCAATAAAGAAAACATACACATAACAAAGGGATGTCCCTCGGAGGTGCTTGAAGCTTACAAAAAGCAACACCATAGAGATTTCTCGACATTCCTCAGCTTAAGGGCTGAAGAAATGGTAACCGGAGCCCGTATGGTGTTGACGTTTGTCGGCGGAAGACTCGCGGATGATGAGGAGTACGTACAATTCACGATTCTTGCAAACACACTTGTTGACATGGTTGCAGAGGTACATACACATCACATGATTTGTTACACTAAAAATGTGATATATATATATATATATATATATATATAAACGTTGAGAAGTTGAAGTTTCCGTGCTACACGGGGAAAAACTGATCAACGAGAGACTTCCCTCTCAAAATCTTCTTCTTGTGAAGCACATTGATTTGAAAATACTTTTAATAAACGAAGTCTCTACTCTCTAGTTCTTATGTTTTAACTATTTAGGGGGTGATCAAGGAGGCTGATTTGCATTCATTCAACTTGCCTATATACACACCAAGCAAGGAAGAAGTCGAGGGAATAGTTCGAAGTGAAGGGTCGTTTAATCTTGAGAAACTCGAGAGATTTCTAATCCCGTGGGACGCAAATGATGGAAATAGTAACGCTACGACTGCGGAAATCGTGGCCAACTTCACCCGGGCTTTTACGGAGCCAATCATGGCTGCACAATTTGGGAGCTCCATTATGGATGAGATGTATGAAAGGTTTGGACATAAACTGGGAGAGCTTCAATCGTCTACGGACGCACCACCGTTCTCTAATATGGTCATCTCCTTATGTAAGAAATGAAAAAAAAAAATGTGTGCATGGAATAAGATCAATAATATATACATAATGGTCATCTTGTAAAACTTCTATTGTATTTGTTTGACGTTTGGTTTATGTTGTGAAACTTATATAATGTATTTGAATAAGACGTGGATTTATTTTATCTTTCATCCTCTATTTGATGCATAAAATTGAAAGGATTTATAATTGTGCGTGTTGTTTCTAAAGAAGGACTATTTTCTTTAAATTTTTCGGTTTTTCATTAGGAAAAACTAGCAAAACCCCGTACTTAATTTGGCAAATCAATGTAGGAGATAACCCTTTTTTCTAATTAATGAAAACCCCTTTACTTATTAGATGGTGTGATTAGTAGAAACAATGTAAGTAATTATATACCACCACTACCACCACCACCACCACCGCTGGCGCCGTGCAAAAGTAGAAGAGGAGGAAGTAGTGAAATTAAACATGATCTTCGGGAAATAGTTGAACAGGATGGTTGTATTTGTGAAGATGCTTTTGGCGGTGGTAAGTTTGTATATTGTGTTTATGGCGGTGTGTTTGGAAATACCCGGTATTTGTGATGGTTTTGGGGGGCGGTGTTGGGATTGTGTCGTGTGGCGACGGTGTGGTAATACGGAGACCGGACCAGCGAAAAAATCCGGAAGAGAAAAAAAAAAAAAAAAAAAAAAAAAAAAAAAAAAAAAAGTCAACGCCGGAGACCAGCGGTCAACGGCGGTGACGGACGAATTTGTCCATAAAAATGTGTTTTGGGTCAAAATTGAATAATTTATGAAATTTGGGTCAAATTGAGGTTAAATTAAATTAAGGGTGAAATTGGAGCATATTAAATTATAAGGGGCTATTTTACTGTTTTACAAAAAATTGAATCATACGTGGACTTATTTGTAAAGGAGTTTATTGTCTGAATCTCTTTATAAATAAGTATCCATTCATAGGCTTATTTGTAAAGACCCCTAAAAAAATTCTAGCAATTTATATCGGATCTAATTAGTAAATTACTCGTTTCTATTTCAACGTATTTGCGTGACTAAATTAAATGGTAAAATCTAACCAATAGATATATATATACACACATATATATAAATCTCAGTTCAATTCAATTCTGTCTGGATGAAGTTGTGGCTTTCCAGTGTAGTCATCTCTCCACCGGCCTCCGGATCAAATTTGCATCTGTACAGTCTGTATCGACAACCGAAAAAAAAATATATTAAAACTTGAAGATCTTTTTTCGAAAATTAGAGTGAAAAATACTAAGAAAAAAAGTATATTGTTACAAATAAAATGACGATTTTAATTAATAGAATAATACCTTCCATCGATGCCGATAATGTCAAGCGTGTTCTTCTCTTTGCCGAAAGAAACCATATGTCGCACACCTTCTTTTACGCGAAAGTGAGCCACCGACCACTCGTAACTCAAATACTTTGGGAGATAACCTGCATTAATTCCCACATTATTAATACTGTTAAATCTCTACAGCTTAATAAAGTTAGGACTACTATAATTTTATTAATTTAGCGGAATATTAAATTATAGAATTAATAATTTAGCACGTTGTTACCGAGTCAGAACCAAGAAAGATTATTATTTAAGCGGTGTTATTAGTTTATCGATATATTTATTTTTCATAGTAAATTGAAGGATTATTTACATGATGTTGCTTCGAAATAATACTACCTTTAATGAAAGAAAAACGTGAAACGGGAGGTGGAGCGAGTTCCTTCAGTTCTGCATTTAGCCATCCGTTGATTCTCAAATTTGAATCGACAATGTTTACGTTGAAAACATGTATAGTTCCTTTATCAGTTGAAACAGCTAGCCGTGGCGCTGTCGGACAAAACGAAAGGCTGTAAATCTCCGCTCTTTCGAAACCCCTTCTTAGCTGCAGGTAGGAGTGAAAGTCAGATGGATCGGATTGGAATTAGCCTTTTCGGAAAATTTTCAAAAGTTTTCGGAAGTACAAAATCGATTCAATTCCAATCCCAATTCCAAAATTTTCGAAATTTAAAAATTCTTTCCAATTCTTAAAGGCCCAGAAATTTCGGAATTTGGGAAAATTTCGGATATCAAATAAGTTATAAAATTTCAAAACTTAGCGGAAATTTTTTTAAAAAATCATAATTTTCTAAAAATAAGAACATCCATGTCGATAAAAGTAAAACTAATATCCAATAAAAAATCTAACAACAATTCAATATGTCAAAATCCTGAAATAAAACACAAATCAAAATACTGCTTTAGAAAACAAAGAAAAACTTAAAATTTAATAAGTACTATATAATATATATCATTTAAAGGTGTATTTTTTGGGGAAAAAAATCAGATTTTTTCAGAATTAATTTCGAAAATTAAATCGGATCCGAAATCGAGAATTCCAATTATTTTATATAATTCCAATTCCAATCCAAAAAAACCCCGATAAATTCAGAAATCGAAATTTTGGAAATCGGAATGAAAAAAATTGTTCCAAAATTGGAATTTCCGTTCCAACTTGCACCCTTAATTATAGGTCAATGCTGAATATATCTCTAAAATAAAATTAAAAAGAAAAAAGAAAGAAAGAAAGAAAGATTGTACGTACCTCCTGAAGCAAAGAGCCATCGGTAGAGTCAAAAACCCTAATCAAGGTCCCTTTAGTACTAGCGGTGGCGAAAAGCTTGCCGTCACTCAACAACGAAAGGCACGCGATATCGGAATCATGCGCCGGAAATTGTTTATTCCTTCTCCGATAGTAATCATGCACGGTGACGTGCCCCTTCTGCAACCCTAGGGTCAGCAGTACAAACGGCCCGGTCCTCGAAATCTCGCACAAACCCTTCGGGTTGTGCTCCGTCACCATCTCGTGCACCATCCTCAGGTCGGAGAAATCGTAGACCTTGATCTTCTGCGGCAGGACCACAACGATGCGGTCGTGCCGCAGCCGGACGGACACCACATCCGAGCGGTACGCAAACTCGTACACGCACCGCCGGAGTTGGTCGTCCCAGATCACGACTCTGTTTGGGGGGAAATTTGCCCTGGGGCCCCCGCCAACTAGGGCGTAGATATTTGAGTCGGCGAACGACTGCGCGATGCCTATGCTGCCGTTTGAGGAGGAGAAGGTGCGGCGGATGGTTTGGGTGAATGGGTCTGTGTTGAATACCATGAATCCGTCGGTGGTGGCGGCGGTGAAGCGGCAGCCGCCTTGGTTGAAGGACAGGTTGAGGAGGGTTTTGGGGCGTTCGACGACGACGGCGTCGGAGTTGGAGGGTGTGGCCATGGCGGAGGGGCAAAGAAAAGATGAACGTGAAGAAGAATAAGGATTAGTAAGATTGTGATTGTGAGTTTTCGGAGGTATATATATATATATATATATAGGTGATTGTGTTTGTGTATGATTGGGAGAGGGAAATTTGATTGATAATAGGAATTTTGAATAGACAAAGAGGACAAGAACTCTTCAACTTAAGTTGGAAAAAAAAGGTCGAGTCTATATTTCTTCTCTCCCTAAAGAAACCTTGCACAACCTCCCCTTTTTTTTGCTTTTTTTATTTCCAAAATAAATAATTTATTACCAACGAACCATGTTTATTATCATAGGTTTACGTGTTATATTTCTTTTGTCAATAAGTCCATCCCTATAATATATGAGTTAATCTTAAAAAGGCCCATGGCAAGGGTACTTAATTAAAAAAATAATATTCAACTTTTTTTGTCTTGCAATAAATTCTCGCTCATTCAAATTTATTTCCAAATAAGGAAACCCTTTTATATATACCAAAATTATTCACAATTCTTTGAAACCCAATTCAACTCCAATTTCATAATTTACACCCAAATTTAGCCCAGTTTCATCAATTAACCAATTTTGACCATAATTTCAATTTTGACCCGCCACAACCGGAGACCACCGGTCAGCCGTTGACGCCGGTCTCCGGCGTGGACTTTTTTTTTTCTCCTGAAATTATTTTCCGGTAGGTCAACCGCCGTTGACCACCGGGTCTCCGACGTTGAATTTTTATTTTTTTTTACTTTATTTTATGTTTTCTTAAAAAAATATTTTAATTAATACTACTGTCTCATGCAATAATGTTACTGTTTGGGACAGTAGTATTAGTATTATTATTGTTCGGAAAAATAATATTCATAATATTAGTGTCCCAAACAGTAATATATTACTGTATGAGACACTAATTTAGCAGCCAAGACAATAATATATATTAATTAAAATAATTCTTCTAAGAAAAAAACAAAATTTCAAGCAAAAAAAAAAAGAGTCAACGCTGAAGAACCGCAATCTGACAGGAAAAAAAATTCAGAAAAAAAATTATTTTCCGAAAAAAACATATATTTTTTCAAAAAATTATTAAAATGGGGGTTAATGTGATATATTTGTTTAAATCCGGGATCAATGTGTAATATTAAGAAAGTTAGAGTAAAATGAATGGAATTGATAAAAAATATATTATGGAGGGTATTTTAGACTAAATACATGGGGATGAGTTTATTTGAAAGACTGTTTTTTTTGTGGACTAATGTGCATTTAAGTCCCTTGTCATGTCTCTTTTTGCCATTTGCCTTAAATATATATTATAAATAAATGCAAACGTAATGCATATGACAAAATTACCTTCAACCCTTTAAACAATATTCATAATTGTAATCCTAATTTCATTTCGATTTCATCAATTTGACCAAAAAAAGACAATTTTGACATTTTTTTCTCTGCCGCCGGTTTCCGGCATTGACCAGCGATCAACACCAGCCTCTAGCGTTGACTTTTTTCTTTCTATTTTTTTCCGATGATTTTCGGCGCTGACTTTTTTTTCATCTAAAAATGTTTTTTTCCTACATATATTAGTTTCCTACTCCATATATACTTTTTTCCTACATATATTTGTTTTTTTTAATATTAAATTCGAAAATTATTTTCCTTGAATTATTTTGAATTTTGAAATTAATATTGTTGGGCTTAAATTAAAAATGAGAATTCACTTATTAATTTCTTGATTAGTTTCTTTAGAATTTGAACATTAACAGAGAGTTTTTGATGTTTGAAATGGGCTTCTAAGTTGCCTGGATTCTATTCACTTGATTTTATTCTATATCTAATGCATAATTGGTAAATCAAACATTTTGAAAGTGATCTTTTCGAACTCCTGTGGTCGGCACACATACACGTGCACTTGAAATTAATAATTACCCGGTATATTTTACCAAATGTAGCATCTCAAAGATCCATCCATCGGCAGTCAATGAAACTCATTGAAGAAAATCCAGGCAATTTAGTAACCATTTCAAACATTAAAAAATTATCAATATTTGTTACACAAAGCCTGCACCATCTAATTATATATATAATCTCCAGAATTTTTACTATTTAACAAAGGGGGTGCTTGCTATTTGGAGATTACACGTAGAGATGGCAATTGGACCCACCACGATGGATCCCCGCCCCGAAAAAAATGAGTCGAATATGGGGGTTGAATTTTTTTTTGACCTGGTAAGGGGACGGGTTTGCCTGTACCCGCCCCATACTCACCCCGTATTATTTATATATGTAATATATATTTATTAATTATTATATTAAATATAAATAATTAAATAGTAGTAATATATTAAAGGGCAAATGGCAAAAAGGCCCATCACATGGGACTTAAATGCATTTTAGTCCACAAAAAAAACAGTCTCTCAATTAAGCCCATCCCTATGTCTTTAGTCTAAAATACCCTCAATAATATAATTCTTAACAATTCCACCCATTATGCTCTAACTTCCTTAATATTACACATTGACCCCGGATTTAAACAAATATATCACATTAACCCCCAAAACTTTTTTTTTTCAGAAAATAATTTTTTTTCTGAACTGTTTTTTTTCCGGCCAGATTCCGGCGTTGACCGCCGGAGACCGCCGGTCTCCGGCGTTGACTTTTTTTTTTTTTTTTTTTTTTTTTTGAAATTTTTTTTTCCTGCTTTTTTTTTCCGGCCGGTCAACG